GAGGGGTGGGGCGCGCCGGGGCGGCTGGGGCGTCCCAGGGCTGGCTGGGGGTCAGCTGGGCACCCAGCCCAGAGCTCACATCCCCCCGGGCAGGAGATGACAGAGAGAAGCAGGGGACGGAGAACTGCGGCTCCCAGACTCTGGGGGCCCAGGGCCGCCGGATCGTGCCCGAGCTCCCAATGCTCCCAGAGCGCTCACAGTGGAGCCGTCTGGCTGCAAAGGTCAGGGAAATGCTCTTCAGGGAGGGGGTGTGGGGGTGGCTGGGGTGTGGGCCTCCTCCCCTGCCTCCCTCCAGCACCCGCCCCAGCCTGCAGCCTCCCCCCGCCCCACGGGCTCTGAGACAGCCGCTCTTGTTAGGAGATTACGCAGACCTTCCAGACGCCAACGGAGCCCCTGCTTCAAGGGCCAGGTCTGCCACAGTGTCCTGGGGCCTCCACAGAGCCTCCCTCCAGGGGCGCGGCGCTGGTCGCCCCAGAGACCCCACCCCTCCACACCCAGCCCCTTGTAAGGACCTAGTACATGGGGGCCACATCGCGACCCATGGCTGATGACCCTCAGTGACCCTCGGGGACAAGCAAAACCTCTCCCCCCATGGGACTGCAGAAAGGCCAGTGGCCGCCACCTTGTTCAAGTCAGAGTAACAGCCACGAGGGGCCGGCAGGTGGCGCAGTCGTTAAAGGCGCTGGACTCCCACGTGGCTGACCACAGTTCAAGTCCCAGACCTGGCGGTTTGCTTTCTCACCCGCTCTGTCCCTCTTTGGTCAAATTAAAATAAATAAATCAAATAAATAAAGTTAAACAACCATAATAATAAAGAATATAAAAGGAAGCGGCATTTTTAAGAGGATTTTTTTAAAAAAGAATTACAGCCCTGGAAACGGCCACCCAGAGGTTAACTGAGCCCATCACTCCTCACTGCCACGTGTCTCTGCTCCTCTGGTTCAGAGACCTGAGTGTCCCTGATTACCCCTCTTTAGCGATGAGAAAACGGGGGCTCAGAGAGGGCTCACTTGCCCAAGGTCACACAGCCAGAATCTGAGCTGACGCCACAGTGTCAGAGCGGACAGCAGTTTCTGGGGCAGGGTCTGCAGGGAGGCTGGCTAACTGGTGCCAGCACCCCAGGGGGCCTTGTGGCAGCCTTGGAAGGGAAAGGCAGGCAGAGAGCAGTGTTCATCCTTCGTTCTTCTGGGGGAACCCCGTTTACCAAGCCTGTCTGCGCGGGCCGTCCCACCCTGGGCTCCAGGGAAGAGACCAGCTGTGTGACCAGCTCAGATAAGGGCGTGGTGACCACCCTGACCTGGGGGAGGGGGTGTCTCACAATGGAAGAAAACAAAGCCGAGAGGCAGAGAGAGAATGATCCTGAGAACAGACTGAGCCCCTGGATCCAGCTGAACCTAAAGCCAGCCCCTCCACAGACGTCTGAACTGCATGACCAATTTGTTTTTTCTCTCGCCTCTACCAGTAGGAGCCGCACACACTTCTCGTGGCCAGGACAGCGTGATTAAGACGAGAAGTGAGGGTGACTCCAGTCCCTTCACCGCTCTCCTCGTGCCAAGGCGCAACGGATCCCTCCCCACAGGCTCTGGGCCCCGGCGGTGTTACGGGTGGAGCAGGGAGATCACGGCCTCTAGCACACCCGAAGCCAGAGGGTTGGGGCCACTTCCCACACTCCTTCGGGGTCTGTCCCAGTGGGGCCCAGCCCGCCCGCCCCGGGGAGCGCAGTACCTCGGAGGACAGTGAGCTTGGCGTGGACCGTAATCTCCCCGACCGCGTTCTGGGCCACGCACTCGTACACGTTTTCATCCCGGGGCGTCCGCAGCGGCTGGATCCTCAGCACGGCCCCCGCGCTCTCGTCAAACTCGATGGTCTGCCAGGGCAGGGGGTGCACAGGTGAGGCCGGGGTCTCAAAGGCCCCAGTCCAGGCTGGGTTGTGGGCGGTGGTCGCCCCACGGTCCCAGCGGAGGGGCCGGCCCCAGCGTCCCCCCCACCACTCACCTCGAAGCGCTGAGAGTTGACCTTCTTCCCCTTCTTGTTCCAGGTCACCCGTGGCTTGGGGTCACCTGTGGCCTGGCACACGAACGAGGCCACGCCCCCCGACACGCCAATCTGGTCCTTGGGTTCTTTGATAAACCTGGGGGGCTCTGGGGTGCAGCAGGGAGAGGGGGGCTCTGGTAAGTTGAGGCAGGGGCGGGGCCCACTGAGCCACGCACACGCCCTCCCCCTGCCCTGCCTCGGGGTGCCACGTGGCCCTCTGAGGGCGGGCGAGGAGGCGAGGGAGATGGGGCCTGAGACGCCTGCCCCTCACTCGCCCCACCTGGACACAGCCCCCGACTCACACGTGGGCGCAACCTTGACGCCTGGGCACACCGGCTCGAACCCAGGGCCAGTGTGGATGGCAGAGAGACCCCTGAGCCTCTGGGGTCCCCACATGCAGCATCTGGAGGGCCTGGGCCCATCCTGGAGGGCCGTGAGAAGACTTCAAAGAAGATAGCTTTTTGTTTTTGTTTCAAGAGGTTTTTGCTATGGGGCAAGTGTGTGCACCAGAAAGGCAGAGAGAGACAGAGAGACAGAAAGCGAGAAATCACCCCCCCGGGGGGATGATCACGCCACAATCCCTTCTCCTCCATTCTCCTCTCGGGATCTTGGGCACGCACGCACACACGCCCGGTGTGAGTTTAAGCCACCGGGTCTGGGATTCGAACCGTGGTCGACTACCTGGGAGTCCAGCGACATAGCCATCACGCTAACTGCTGGTCCCAGAAAGAGATAACTTGACCTGGCCCCACTCGTGAGATGTACGGGGAGGCCGAGGCACCGAGCAGGGAATAAAGACTGACGACCAGTTCCGGGGCCAGGGTGAGCACTGGAACCCAGAGCTCCAGCCTCAGGCTATGGGAGGTGCCCCGGAGGCGGCCGGACACACGGGGACAGAGCTCCGGAGACCAGCTGGAGCTGGGACAGGCTCGGAGAGGGTGGTGCACACCGCCACCCCTCCATCTCATACGGCAGGAACCAGGCACAGGCCAGGCGAGACTCCTTCCGGCTGGACCCACGGCCAGCCCACACCGAGCCGCAGGAGCAGGCTGGCGCCCGCCCCACATTCCAACAGCACAGCCTCAGCTATGAGGTCTCTCCGGAAAGTCTCAAGGGGAAGGTCCTATGTCTTAACACCCTGGGGCAGCCTCGAACCCTGCACCTCCCATAGCACACAGTAGCTACAGACTCCCTAAGATTGTTTCCCTTTCCAGCCCTGCTTTACAGGCCTGGGCAACACCCAGAAAGATACTAGATTACACCGCCGTGCTACAATGTATCCCGTAAATGAGGGCCTGCCCAGTTTTTATCTGGAGACAAGTTTGCAACATACTAGCAAGGTCCCTCAGGAAGAAAGTATCTGTTCAATAAAAGGGGATTAGTGGAAGGAATGCAGCAATCCCCAGTGGAATATCACAGGGCTGTGAAGAAGCAAAACTGGGCTTTAACGAGGAATACCATACGGGGGTGGGGAGGGAAGCCAGGGTGAAAAAGCGTAGAAGTGCGACTGTTCTGTGGGAAGAAAAGCGAAAGAGGAGGGGACCAGCAGGTGGCATGGTGGTTAAGGTGCTGGACTCCCACATGGCCAATCACGGTTCGAGTCCCGGACCTGGTGACTTGCTTTCTCACTCTCTCTCTCTCTCTCGCTCTGGCCAAATTGAAATAATTTTTTAAAAAAAAGAATAAATAAATAAATAAAATAAAATAATTCTTTTTTTAAAAAAAAGGAAAACAGAAAGGAATGTGTGTGAGAGACAGGCAGAGACAGAGACGAGACACACTAGCTGTCTCTGTGGAGGGAACGAGTGAGTGGACATGGGGAAGAGGCCTCGGGCTCCAGTAACTTCTTTAGATCTAAAACTATTTAAAGATGAATGGAAGTTCATTTCTTCTAACTTGCCAGAGAACATGTGCGCACACCTGATGGGGAGACGGAGAACGGGAAAAGGAGAACCCCCCCACCCTGTCACCCCTTCTCCATTTCGCCTTTCAGGGTTTGGGGCACGCGCGCACACAAGTCCACTGTGTTTTATAAACTGCCGGGCCCGGGATTTGAACGACAGTTGTCCACGTGAGATCTAGCCATCTTAACCACCAGGCTGTGGAAATACTGAAACGCAAGAGTGAGCTGATAAAAGTTCTGCTATAGGATGCAGCAGACAGAGCGGGAAAGTGAGAAATCCCCCCCGGGGCGGCGGTCACGCCCTAATCCCCTCTCCTCCACTCTCCTCGGGACCAGGGCCGGGCATGCACACACGCAGGGTGATTTTCAAGGCACCGGGTCAAGGATTCAAACTATGCAGGTGGCCATGTGGGATCCAGCCGCCTTAGCCCCATGCCACGTGGCTGCCCTCCACCCAAAAAAATATTTTTTAAGTAAGTCACAATGTGGGGTCTGAGGACACACGGAGGTTGCACAAGTCAGACTTGGGCAACCCTCAGCCTTTGAGGCTTGAGGATTATCGAGAAATGGGAGGAGTGAGCACAGGGTCACTGGTTTTTCCAGAAGTTCTGGGAAGTTCTGGCTACTCGGAAGCACAGAGTCTCGGCAGGCCTCGGGCTCCAGGTTTGGGTCCCCACGGCCCCCTCTTCCTCCCAACCATGGGCTTTGAACAAAGCAGCGTCTCTGTCCCAGGGGCCTGAGCTGCCTCACCTCCCTCGTTCAAGGCCCTCTGCTCCTGTTGATATGACCATACGTGTCTGCAGTGGCTACGTCTCTTAAATCCGTAGTACTCGGTCAGGGGGGTGGTGTGGTGGTTAGGGCAGCTGGATCCCACATGGCTGACGGTGAGCTTCAAGTCAAATCCCAGACCTGGTGGCTTGACCACACATCAGGGGTGTACACATGTGCCCCAAATTCTCACTTCCCCACTCTGATTCTCAGGCAAACAAAATATAAATAAATAAACAAACAGAAGAAAACTCAGCGGTACAATTGTACAGATTCGGGACTGTTAACAGGCTGTGGAGGGAGGACAGCGCCGGGATTCGAACCCAGGTCTCTGTCGCCAAGCCCACGTCCTCTGCTGCCCTCGCATCCAGGCCTGAGGAGGGCAGGTGTGCTGTGCCACGCTGCGCCCAGGCGGGGCCTCCTCCTGGCCCAGGAACGGCGAGCCGGGGCCATATCCGGGCTCAGCCAAGGACACAGGGACATCCCATGGCCGGGTCAAGAATCTGACTTCTGGTAAAACCCTCCCCTGGGAGCCGCGGGGGGAGCGTGGCCGCGGGCGGCGTGGGGAGCCGTGGGGAGCAGGAGGCGTCCAGCTGCTCGTCCACGCTCGGCCAGAGCAGGCCCCGGCGCCCTCCAATCTGCCCGAGTCAGGCGGGGGCTGGGCCGCCCTCCCTCCCTCCCTGCCTCTGGCAGCTCCGACCTCAGCGTGGCCAGCTCCTCCCTGGGGAGCCCTTGCCGATGACCCCAGGCGGGGTGAGGACCCGCCACGTCCCCGCCGCTCTGGAGGGCACCCGACTACAGCCCCCGTCCCATTGGGCTGGGACACCTGGCTACATGGCAGGCCACCGGGAGGGCCAGGGGAGGCCCCAGCCCAGGCTGGAGACCCGAGGGGAAACGGGACGCCTGATCCTCGAACCCCGAAGGGCTAGACCGCCCCACACGCCCCCCGCCTTCTCGAACTGTCTCCCTGCTGCGGGTGCCGCTGTCTCCCTGCTCCGGGAGCCGCTCTGCCCGCCGTGTCCACCATGAGGACGTTTCCTGGGGGAGCCTGGAATCTCTGACAGACGACCCCGCCCCGCCCCGCCACACCTGCCGAGGCACAGGAGGGACCCTCGGGGCCCAGAGGCCACACCTGTGGAATGGGGCGCGGGCCTGGCGGTCGCGAGACCATCCCACGCCTGCTGCACAGAGTGAACCCGAGGCTCAGGGAGGGAGAGCGCGCCGGCTCTGCTGCTCTGTACAAGCCGGACCCCACGTGGTGACCGGGGATCGAATCCCAGGCCCGGTCAGCCTGAAACAGTGGGCGCGTGTGTGTGGCTGGGGCTGGAGGGCACCGCGGTGTGGCCAGGCCCGCGGAGGGCGTGGCGTGCCCCTCACTCCCACTCCTGAGTGCTCGCGCGCTGTCGGAATAAAGAGCATTAAAGAGGAGAACGAGGGCGTGTGAACCGACCGGGGTCACAGGCCAGTGATGAGGAAGGGCCCGGCCCGGGCCACACAGCTCCAGAGTCCGGGGCAGCACGACCGCTGGCACGCCGGGTGCCCGCTCTGCAGAGACCGACGCTCTGAGCGGCGAGACCGACACCGCAGAGGCTGGGAGGGGGCCTGGGGCCGCGGCCTCCCGCTCTCGGCCCGGCTTGGCCCGGTTTCTGTTTTCCATTTCGGATTCTGCAGAGAACTTGAGGCCAGATCCGGTGACCTGCCCTGCACCCCTCCGAGCTGGCCCGGGCGGCCCCACGGCATCGCGGGAAGGCCCCGTGGACCAGGAGCTGACGGCGCCCTTCAAAGCCAGCCCGTGAACACCTCGGCTCCGAGGGCGGAGGGCCACCCGCCCACACTGTCCCAGGGACCCAGGCCACCTCCTGAGGCTGTCGGTGCCAACGCCGGGCCCACGGCCCGCTGCACACGCCCACCTACGGGCCACGGGAGCCCTGGTCGCGCGGCTCCCACGCCTGCGGGGATTCTGCGTCCCCACCTGGGACAGGCCGGCCAGCTGGGGGCAGTGCGGCCGCGGCACGGTGGCCGGACACCATGCAGGCCCGAAGCCACGGTGGTGGCCGGAGAGCGCCGGGTGCGAGGCCGCGTGGTGTACCGCCCAGCACAGCAGGCAAGTGCGCCTCGCTGGGGGACACTTGTCACAGACACGGGGCGGCTGCCACATGCCCTCAACGCACCTGCCCCTGGCTCAGAACGGTCCGGCCCCAAAGGGCCCCCGAGCACAGGTGGGAGCCACTGCCAGGAGGGCCCCAGGATGCAGGCCTGGGGACACAGGCCCAGGGAGGGTGCGTGTGTAGGGGACAGGCAGACCATGGTCCAGCCAGACCGAGCCACTGCCTGCAGGCAGGACTACAGCAGTCGCACCGTGCTGGCACCAGGCGGCCCAGGTTCGAATCTAACGAGCTCCTGGCTGTGCCCTGACTCCTCCGTGCCTGCCTGGCTGCCTGATGGGGGCGGGCTGGACGTGGACAGCTTTTACAAAAGCAGGGCCCTGGGGCCAGCACACGGCACGAGTGTTAAGGCACTGGATCCCACATGGCTAACCTCACGGTTCGAGTCTCGGACCCAGTGGCTTGAAAGTTACAGGGGTGTGTGTGTCTATGTGTGTGTGCGCGCCCGGAATCCCAGGAGGAGAACAGATGAGAAGGGACTGTGCCCGCTGGGGAAGGCCTCCTCCCTCTCTGTCTCTGTCTCTGTCTCTCTGACAAGCACAGGTGCCTCTGGACAGAAAGAAAACGAAGACAGAGGAGGAAGGGGCACATGGACGACACGGAGTCCTGCTCCATCCGGAAGGAATGGCAGGCGGGGTGGTCGGGGCGCTGGCCCGAGGTCACACTGCAGGGGTCGGCAGAGCAGGACTCGATCTGACCACAGCCCTCGTTTTCTCACGGCGTGGACCCCTCCCGTCCCCCCGAGCTGGAGCCATGGCTGTGCTTGGTCCCTCAGGGCGGGGCAGGTCTTGGCCTGAAATTGACCCTTATCCTTTTCTAGGGACAGCCGGAAACACAGCCTTGGCCACGTCTAAACCACACCCACCTCCTTCATCCCCCAGGCTTCACTGGGCAAGTCCTTTTCCTCAGAGAACTCCTACACAGCCACAAAACCCCACCCCCGGTGCCCTGTATCCAAAGGAACCTCCTGGACTCCATCTGGGAAGGTCCACCTGCTTCCAGGCAGGAGAGCTGTGTGCGCACTGGGTGGGGGCCTCGAGTAAGCCCTGATGCCTCGCTTCCCTCCCTGGGACAGGGGGGGGGGGGGGAGTCACGGAACTGGCATAGCGGGTGTTAGGAGGCTCAGGGAGACCAGCTGGGAAGTGGGGCAGGCCTGGGGAGGCCGAGGGCGTGGAGGGACGTCGCTGGTGGCGGCATTACCGCCTCGGTGAGCCTGCTGTCGTTACTCCTCTCTGAACCTCCAGGCCCCCACAGCAGGGCCTCAGCCTCACACAGGCTCACGGGGAGCTGGGGTGGGGACACGGGGTCACACGCGCCCCTGCAATGCACCATCCCAGCCTCTTACCTTCTGCCGCGCAGCCTCCGACCAGCAGGACCACGAGGAAGCCCACGGGACCAACCACAGATGCCACGCCAGGGCCCCAGGCAGACGCCATGCTGGGCAGCGACCTTCAACCTCCGCCCTGGACGGGGATGGCCCCGCGGCCCGCACAGGCAGGCCTCGAGCCAAGCGTCAGATGGGGCAGCGTCTGCAGGGACAACAGAGGAGCCGTGAGAGGGGAAATCCAGGAGGGAGGCCTGCCTGGAGGCAGCTGGACGATCACAGAGGGTCAACGGAGGGCAATGTGGATGCAGGATGATTTTTTACATATATACATTAATGTTTTAGAAAGATTTTAAGGTGTGTGCGCTCACCAGAGAGATAGAAAGCAAAAAGTCACCCCCCGGGGGGATGGCCATGCTGCAGTCCCTTCTCCTCCATTCTCCTCTTGGGATCTTGGGCACGCACGCACACACGCATGTCCAGCTGAGACTTAGGCTCGAACCGTGGTTGACTACGGAGTCTAACGATGTAACCTAACCGTCAGGCTACCTGGTCTGAGATGATCTCTTCTTACCCTGAACCCTAACCACCAGGCTGCTGGGGTTATGAATGTGGCCAGGAGGTGACAGGTCCTGCCCGAGGAGCCCCATGAAGGGGGTCAGTATCCTTGCCAAGGAGGCCCCTCGCTCTCGCCCCTCCGCCACTGCCCGCCACCCGTGAGCCAGAGACCCGCCCCAGAGAGGGGACCGTAGAGCTGTCATGGCTGACGCCCCAGCACTCGGGCTGGGAGGGCCACGCCTCGTCTCCGGGCCCCTCGGTCTGGGGCATTCTGTCACAGCAGCCCTAGCCGGTCGGCGACGGCTCCCCCACCCTCACAAGGCCCCAGTCCCGGAGCAGGTGCCAGCTCACACTGAGCACCTCAGGGGTGCTCGGAGCCCTCGGGAGGACGAGTCCAGCCCAAGCTGCAGCTGGGCCCTGGGACCTGCCCCGGTCACCAGGTGGGTCTCTCCCTTACTGTTCCTGCCCCGCTCTAACACCGCCCATGGCTCCCGGAGACCCCGGGGAAGCCACCTCTGTGCATGCACCTCCTCTCGCTCGCCGGGCTCGGGCCCTCCTCCGGCCGGTACCTCTGCCCTCTACCAATGATGACAGGTCTCGGCTCAGCGGTCACTTCCTCAGGAAGCCCTCTCTGCCCCTCAAAGGTGAACCCCACTCCCTTCCACATCCCGGGACTCAGACGACTGAGACCAACCTCCACGGCATCGCCACGGGCCCGGATAAACGCGAGCGGTCACCATCGGAGTCCATCTCCCCACGGGAACGCGAACTCCAGGGCAGGCATCTTGAGCCCTGGCCTGGCCCCCTCCACGCCCACTCCCAACACGGGCCAGAACCAGGACACAGGGCCAGACAGGGGCAGGGAGAGGCTGGAGGGCGAGGCCCTGGTGGCCCGGTCAGCCCGTACCCTTCCTGGACCGGCCTAGGTGGGGCCGGCTGTGGCCACGGAGGCAGATGTCGTGTAATGACAGGGCGGCCACATAATGATCCTAGCTCCCAAAATACCCACTGTGGTCACCTCGCCCGGCGGTGGCCGGGTCACAGCCCCGGTGGGAAGTACCAGCTGGCAGGGGCCGGGAGTGGCAGGTTCTGGGGCGGACATGCAGCCAGGCCACAGACACACCCTCTCACATACATGCGCACAGTCAGGCCACGGACACCATCACACACACGCACAGTCAGGCCACGGACACCATCACACACACGCCCAGTCAGGCCCCAGC